CCCCCCCCCCCCCCCCCGAAATGTCTCAACATCCTTTTATGTCGTAAGACTTGATAATAAATACCCCAGAGTGTTTGTTGTTTCTCAACATTTTATGGTAATAAAAATTAATGATACATATTCATAATAGCTTGTTACAAAACACGTCCGTTAAAACAGTTTAATTTGTACTTGCTAATTTCTGTTGTGAAGAAACAAGGTCGCTTTTCCCGAAGTTCATTAGAGTCTTTCTTAGGAACTAACGAAATTTCCTGTGGAAGGATTGAAAGATGTATCTCGACGCCGAATCAATTTCTGACGTTGGGTCAAATAATTACTATGAGGATAAATGCCACGGACGAGTCGAATACGAAAGATTGAATTAATTATTCGAACACTTTACATTACTCTACGAGTAGCAGATTGATGTAGAGTGTAGTTGCAGGAGTTTCAAAAAGGTACCAAGGAAATTTGCATAAACTTTAGCTGTGATAGCACATCCTCTGACGGAATTGTAACTACTTACTTAGTGAATGCAAGATAAGTAATTGCTTCTGTGATAGATCACTGTTATTTAGATTGATAGACGGTGTAAAAAATCTAATCGGATATTAGGACAAATAATTAGGTAGAGACGTCGTGGAATATAGTAATAGAATTAAATCATTTGGTATCTCATTAGCTGACCAATGGTTTTTCCATGTAGTTCATATTGAATTTGAGGTGAAAGGGTCACTGGAATTATTTTCTTGGAACATTCGTCATATATTATTTCATCACTCTTACAGTCATTACAATAAAACTATCTGCAGTTACTGTCACCGAATTGTTACATTCAGGCATGCATTCAGATGTTTATATCTATCTTCATCTAATTCGTAGTTCAGTGTATTATAAAAGGGCACCCCCGTTAATAAGTTCGTATTAATATTTCTGGGTTAAAAGTGGGGGAAGATATACCGAACTTAAAATGTCACATAATGCAGATGAAATTTGGTGAAGATTAAGGTGGAAAATAAATCTTTTATTGCATTGCTCGAAATGTTAAATGTTGGCAGAAATTTAAATACTAACATTTAAGGTTAATATGTGATTTGAAGTTCTAACGACAGTGAAAATGTCGACGTTGATCTTCTAGGTTGTGACACCTTGTTGACTTGAACCCTGATGACTGAGGCAGTACATTCCTCCGAAACGTTGGTACACATCTACAAGTCCACAAAACGTCACAACCCAAAATGTCACCATATACCTATAAGGCTTATCTTAATTAGCTTATTTTTAATTAAATATCCACCTTAAGTTGTTTCTACTGTTAAAATCAGTGGATCTGCGTTTTTAAATTATTCCCCGAATCCAAACGTGCTTAAAATTGGATAATTTTCAAAAAGTTTGTATGAAACATCGTTTAATTAACGTTCGGTATAATTAATATGATGACATGAACGCACAAATCATGTATCAAGTCATACCGCCAGAGTACAATAAGATTTAGAACATTCTAGAGAATGTTATGTTCCACTTGTCTGTCTTTTGCAGATGGAAAATATCACATGCTGCCTTCTGGCGAGCTGATGATCCTCAATGTCACCGCCAGCGACGCAATGCGATCATATCGGTGCAGAACTCACCATCAGCTGACTCAAGAGGTTGTAGTGAGCCGAAACGTCGGGCGCATCCAGCTCACAGGTGAGTGGGCAAAGTAGAATTTTAGAAGTTCCCTGATTTACCACCGTTCCTGTTCAAAATGTGGCGTGGACGTGGTTTCGGTTGACACAGATCTGGTCATGATGAGATGGCGGCTAAACTGGTCTATCTAGTCTCTGGCTGGCAGCTTATCTCTTTCACAGACTGCATAGCCGTCACGTCTGTCTGTCTGTCTGTATCACGTAGAGCGACGTGACTCGGAAATTGCTATTTATCTCGCAAATACGGCCTGCTGGACCCGATGGAGATAACATCATCATGATACTTTTGTTTATTATGTGTTTCAGTTTAATGCAAGGTTAGAATGTAATCTGTGTTTTAGCAGACCTGCCATTTTAATTTCGTTGGATATACTCTAGCAGTTCTTAAAATATTTTTAAAGATTTGTGTGTAAAATGTTGTATTTAGTTATATTATGAAATGTGTTATTCATCCATCAGTTTTAATTTAAAAAATAAATCTGAAAGTAATAAGTAGATACCATAATCCGACTGAAAATATTCAGTCGTTTTCTGACGGATAACAGCACTCATCTTTCATTCTTTTTGTTGGCTTAGCTCAAGCGAAATTTGAGGTCGATGGGCTCGATCATATTTACAGAATGAATGTTTGTGTGCATAATTATCGCCAGGGATTCTACCTAAGAGGTCATCCCGCGTAGATAAAATTTCTTAAGAGTTCTTGAAAATGATTCGTAAAGTTGGGTGGACCTTAAATATTCGGGTAAATTCGCTTTGGAAAAAGAATCCTGATTTAATCTAACTCATTATTTTATTGTTAAATTCGGCTAACTTTAATACACTGACAATTTTAAATTCCAGTAGACTTAAAGAACTAGTCATGACAACGAAGATGGCTATCTTCGGGGCCTCCGAAACGTTGATAAACTTCTACCAGCTTACACGGCGCTACAGTTCAGAAGACAGCCACAAATTCAAATCGTGGAATGTATAATTCTGTAATATCGCTGTTGTGTTAATTTATCTTTGTTAAAGAGTTGCAATACGTTTTAAAGAGCTGTAGGTGGGCATTAAGTTCTGTTTCGGGCTATACAGAACTACTGAGGAAAACTACGGCACGTTAGAACTTATTTCTGGAAAGAGGACTATGAACGGAACTGAAACTTTTGAGTGTTTTTTTTTTAAAGTTTACAAGTGGAATTACTTCTGTTGAAGACGCTGACCGTACTGGGCGTTGTTCGTCATTGATGAAATTGTTCGTCCCACAGGGACAAACTACGTCCTGTGTCAAGATTTCTACACACGTATTTTACGAGATGTGGGGGAGGGGATGAAAAGATTCTCAGAAATGGCGCACTGGAGATTTATTTTTCCACCACGACAATGCTCGAACAGGACTTTCTGCCCACAAACCGCATAACCTTTCTCTCCCCGCCCCCCCCCCCCCCATTGCGACTTTTATCTGTTTCCAAAACTGAAGTCAGTTACTTAACCCAGTTAGTACCTGCTCACTTGCGGAGTTCAAAATACGGTACCTACAAAAATTCTTCCAGTACTGACACAATCGCGCAAGTTTCAGGAACCACATACTTGCAAGAGGTCAATTGGTAGAGTCGCTAAATTCCAAAATTATACCGAGAAAGTTCCATCACATATTCTATATTTTCGGAAGAATATGTTAACTCTATTATTGATTTATTTATCAAGTAAAAGATTTGGTGGCTATTTAAATGTTTGAAATTAATTAATATCAACACTTTGGTATTCTGTGCACTATCGATACGTAACAGGAAATGTGTAGTAATTCAGTCATTCTGTGGAATGTCAAGAGATTTAAGATACGTATTTATAGAACCAACTTAACCTAATCTAACAAATCCTGTCTTAACCTAACATTAGCTAAGCTATCCTCGCCTGAAATGAGTGAGGTATTGAAAACAATTCAGGTAGGAATAATCACAGATTTGTTTTCAACTTGTAAGCCTTTTTAGTATTATAATGTAACGTCTAAGTGAAATCTGAAACTAAAGAAAATTTCCTCTGTTTGTCTTAGGGTCCAATGTCGTTTTTTTACAATACTTTGAAAGCATCATACATAAATAATTTTTCAATAATATTCCGTCCATGTTTGAATATCACTGTTGAGTGCTAAGAATAACAATTGAGGGACGCAACTCGGCTAAGACCGCGTTTCAAAAATCTGTGTAGCCTTTTCCTGCGTCCATGTAACCGTTAAAAATGATATGTTAATGCCTGATCGGACCGCATGATAAATGTAGGCGAACGTATATCAGACTCATGGAAAGTTGAACATCGCGTTAAAATCCATGAATTCACTTGATTTTCGATTCCTTTTTGTACGTACGTGTTTAATGCGAGAACTTGTATATACGAAAGTGTTTATAAAAGCTTTTTTGGCTGTGTGCATCAAGCCATATCACAGTCTGTAGGAACTGCTGTGTGTTATGCAGTTATATAATCATATAATTCTAGTATACGAAAACCTGTAAATTTATATATTTTATATATTTCATAAAAAAATGTAACACGTTTATTGTTCCTTATTCGTTACTGCTTATTTCAATTCCATAAACGTGGCACCATTTGCTGAGCTCAGTTTATTAGGTGCATTTTCGATATGAGCAGTGAAACAAATGTATTTTACCATATCTCAGTATTTTAGAATTGAAGACTTACATACCAGCATGGAAATATATTGACAGTGGGAGGCATCTCACTTTGTAGAATAATTTGTGGGGTTTTTTTCTTGTGGTCAGCCATTTTGAGTGCCGTTTAGATTATGGTTTTTGTTTATAAATGTCCTCGTTGTTATTCGTCTAGTAGTACGCTTAAAATTATTAATTGTTTGCACGACGTTTCGGATTTATAATTGAATTAGTATGGAAGTGTTGTGAAACAAACTCTGTAATACACCTCGTAATTGCGAATAATTTGTGCTTTATTGATAAAATATGGCAAAAAGAAAGACTTGTGGAGAGTTTACGACCGAAGCCTATTATATGCGGGTTGTCGTAATTTGCCTCGAGGATTGCAGAAAAGTGACTCAACAAAATTAAGCCTCCCACCGTGATGTCGCCCAGTGACGTTATGAGCTGCCATATTCCTGTCTTGCATTCATTCCACGATACGACTATAAACCTTATCGTCACATTTCTTCAGAACTGTTTCTTTTGATTGAGTTGTGTCTGAAAATGCCTGCATAGGATACTTTCTGTTCATATTGTAACGTATTCGAGAACGTGGCAGATAAATCTTTGTCTGAAATATTTAGTGCAAGGGATCTGTTAACAGTTTCACAGAAATGAACAATTCACATTTCCCGTGCCCGCTGACGTCGGTAATGCGAAAAATGTTTCTAACAAGTAGAGCTCATTTTTTTTTTTTGACTGATTCCATGAGTAAGAGCTTATTGCATTCTGTGTTCCGTTTTGCTTGGCCTGACGCAGCGAATCCACCACTCCACTTGGTAATGAAATCCACTCGACCAGATCAAACGAAACGAGATGTGAAACTTCATTTGCATCGGTCAACATTTACGTGTGCTGGTACTTCGACTCTTACGGTCCTGAAGGGTTGGAAAGGCAGGGGGTGGGGGGGTGCTGCCTCATCTCATGGCGGGGCTGTGTAAATATCACGGCAGGAGAGGGTTGCTAGGGGATCGGATAGGAGCGGATCAGAGATGATAGAAGTGGTGAGAGAGATGAAGACGAGGCTCTTGGTACCGGGATGGAGAGAATGTACGAAAAATAAATCAAGAACCAAAAGTAAACGAAACGAAGAGACCGATGAATGGAAGTAGAGCGAACGGAGTGTCTGTCTGTAACACGTGATTGGGAAATGCAATCATAAAATTGTAATTCCGCATGGTATAAAATAACAAATAAAAATTGGGTGACTTTATTTATATTAGTATCACTTATTTTGCTGCTTAATGCAATGGCGTAACTAAGAAATAGATATTGCTGTTTATTTTATGATAAATAGCGCTGTGTTATTTGCATGATGACGTCAGGTAAGAAATCGCTAACAGGTTCTGAATTATCGCATGGGTGAAGAGAGGAGTAGCGTTGATCTACTTTAGAGGACAGTAGGAATTTTGCTTCAGTGAACCGTGAAATCATTATTCGGTCTTTCTTCCGATTTTGGAAGAAATTGCCTCTCAAATTCCTCTAAGTTCTGCAAACGTCTAGATATCGTTTACACATTTGAAGTTTTCACGGTTTCGTAAATGTTGTTTGTGTGGTATTTTTTGGCTGTGACACCGTCCGGTCTTGTAGGTTGAAACGATATGGCCATTACTTGTGGTAAAACCATTACGACAATTTCTACATTCTGCTGGAATCAGCGTCATTGAGTTTTTATGAACTCACAATGTGACACAGTGTCGTTGAATTAAACCTTATGTACATCGAAAATAATATGGTGACGGGCGAATTTTTATCACCATAACCGACCACAATCGCCATAATTTTATGGACTGAATTTCTGTAGTTACTAAGATTTTATTGGTAGAAATAATAGTACTCAGGATCAAGACCAACAGGCCTGTTCCAATTCAGAATTAATCCTGAAACATTGTATCGTTTATGCATTATGGATTTACTGTAAACATCATCCTAATTACATCTGTCAGTAAGTTCTGAGGTAGTGAATTGACGCATCATAGATCCTCCACATGTCCAGTATAACACAGCACAAAGTCTTGTTCAGAGCATCAGTTACTTGCATGCAGTCCATACCAAGTTTCAGCATATCACATGATCCCTGAATTAAGGCCTATATAATTCAGTCAGTGATCCTACAGAATTATATGCACAATATATGTGTATATAATATTATATTATTTTTTAATTTTATATATTATGAGATGCACCTCCGTTATTTTTTATCATAAAATTTGCGTAGGGAGTTCGGTAATAAGAGAATCCTGAAACATTGTATCGTTTATGCATTATGGATTTACTGTAAACATCATCCTAATTACATCTGTCAGTAAGTTCT